TCATGTAGTGACATCACAACCGATGCATGCTGGGTTACATGGAGATTTTGATTGAGGTAGCAAAGATGGCGGCGCAGAGTGCATGTTTTTCCGCGATGTTTAAAAACAACATTTCGTTGGCGATTTTCATGTAATTTATAAGTTAATCATCAATGAATCGTTTTAATTAAGCAAACATTCTAAGTTTGTGTATTTTTAAACAAAAAAGTCAGGGACCGATGATCGCAACAGCAGCGGTGAATACCCGTGGCCTCGGTCATGTTGGTTCGTGACGTAAGGGGTAAAAGAATCTTGAGGTCATGAGGCTTCCCCTGACCTAGATTCTATCTCTCCGTCACCAGCAGAATCGCTGATTAATGCCTACAGTTCAAAATAGTAGTTTTGACTGACCGGAGTCTATGGTGGGTATGAACTATGTGAATAGACGGGTTCGGAGAACCCTCGCCTAATTATACATTATGCACATCAATTTATTTCACAATCTGATTCAAGATGGCCGATTGGCAGCCATTTTTATACTGAAAATCAGCAAAATTAAGCATTTTTCGGCTGTTTACAGATGGATTTTGTTCAAACTTGGTATATACATTGGACATTATAGGACCTTGATGCACATCATTTTGTTTTTCAGATACGATTCAAAATGGCCAACTAGCAGCCATTTTGTTTTAATGAACGTATTCTAGTGCCGTATCTCTGACTTGCTTTGACTGATTATGTTCAAAATTTAAATATTTATTATACATCATGTCATGGATATACATTGGTTTGATGGTCCTATTCAAAATGGTGGCCATTTTTGTGCTAAAAAATCATCAAATATCAAGCATTTCTGGCATTTATGGATGGATTTCGTTCAAACTTGGTACATACGTGTTAGGCATTACGGGTTCCTGATGCAAGTCATTTTATTTTTCAGATTGGATTCAAAATGGCTGACATGCTTTGACTGATTATGTTCAAATTCTTAATATTCATTATACATCATGTTAAAGATATATACATGTATTCAAAATGGCTGATTTTGTTTTAATTAATGCTGTTCCAAAGTAATATCTCCCAATATGGACAAGTACCCATTTGACGATCTGATACAAATGTCAATCATTTTAATGTTCAACAATCATCATAATCATATTCCTGACATGGTTATATTCCAGCTATATTACTATAAACAAAACTATATATCTTAAATTCGATAACTAACGGGGACTGTGCCATGCATGGCTCGTTTTATTACCTTCTTTATATATATATTTTTTTTATCTCCACATTTAGGTATAATTCATGCCAGAGCTTTGGTAAGAGAGTGTCTAGCCGAAGCTGAGAGAAGTTCAAGAATATAAAATAAGACTTTTATGTACTTCAGATTTACACCTTCAATTTAAAGGGCACGTCATCTCTGCACTGCTCACATGTATAAGGTACTTGCCCACTGAAATTGAAACAATATATTGATAGATCTCAACTTATGGATTCAATATTAGCCATATGTGTTCTGTGGTACTTCCATAGTGTATTTTTCTTATGTGAATAATAGAAGGATTCAGGTAAGCACATGTGCAAGGTGTTCGCATGATAAGGGAAATTCACAGTGGCAGTACATCCTAATTAGGTAACTAAACTTTGCAATTTTTTTCTGTTGATATTTTTAAAATATTGTAAAATCTGTATTAGAAGCAGTGGCTTCTATTAAAATGGTACAATACAACGGAGGGGATGCGGCTTCTATTAGAGCATCTACACATGGAAATTGTGAATGTTTGGTTCTCAGTTATTCAAAAAGAATGGGTGCGACTTCTATTAGGGATGCCGCTTCCAATACAGATTATACGGTAGTTCATTATCTGAAGGGGTGACAGCTACACTCTTGAGGTGCAATTTTAAAAAAGCCAAATTCAAATCCACTGAAGATGGAAAAACTATATTAGCATGTGGGGAAACTAAATGAAATAGTTCACATATGACATTTGATTCAGACTCAAAAATAAGCAAACACAAAGTAGAATAGCAACTGATGTATTTATAAGTGTTGTTACATTGAAATGCTTTCGCTAAGATTTGTATTCTTGAAGTAAACTCTCGTTGAATCGCAGCAACTCACAGCAAAGTGCAACTGTTATTGTTTAAATTATCTTTTCCATTTGTACTACACATTGTTGATCTGTTTTATTTACTGAAAACTGTTATATGGGCATCGATTCAAACATTACTCACAGATTCATCTGGTAATCATTCACTACTTTTACATGACCTTTCAAAGTCTACATTTATATTCCTTCTACAAAAATACTGCCAGGCGAGAGACATGGCTTTTTTTTTAAGATAATGGCTGAGAAAAGTGAATGGTCATTATTCTTATCAATGACGCATTAAATTAATAGCGACTTTCTAGATTATATTAAATGCTTTAAAGATCTCAAAACCAGCAAAATTATGACCAATACATGCCAACATTTTTCATTCAACTCCACATGGGGTAATTTTGAATACAAAGTTCAAAACAAGTTATATTTTCTGTTATTTAAGATTCTTTATTCATATACACTGTATTTATTTGACATTTAAGTCTAAGAGACAATCAGTAATCACTGAGGAATATTGCAGCCCGATTTTTATATTCTTTTGGGTGCTTTCACTTCAATTAAAAGGATTTTTGAGAAAAGTTAAAAACTCTGACGTATGATGTAAAGTTGCTGCATGCATTTGTTTGGTGATCATCGCAAGATTACATCTATTATGACGAGAGTGTGTAATATCCCTTGATGTTTTTACACAATGCAATTTTGAGCTGTAGTAAATTCAGACTTTCAAACAACATGTTAAAACTATAATTGAAACAAAATAAAAATTTATATCTGTGGTTATCGTGTCTGTTGCGTTCTCTGACATATCGGTTTAGATAAAACAGACCTATTTATTTGTGTTAAAGTTATTGACCAAGCCAATCTGATTAAAATCCGAAGTAGGTATGAGGCTCCATTTTTTTTTTTTTTTATAACCCTTTATATTATATTTATTTGTATTTTAGTTTGAATATGTTGATTTTTTTGGTTTTTCTTGCTGTTAATCAGTTCTTAGAAAATTGCGTCCTAGTCGCCTCTAACTTTTTCTTGCCGTTAATCAGTTCTTAAAAAATTG